GCTCGGTTCGGTGAGCGGTCGCTTTGTAACGCTGCAGCTTGTTCGAACTTACATATTTACAAGCAAAATGACCCAAAACCAAGGGAAAACATGCTGTCAAGCAGCTGTACATGCAGGTGTACGAATGGTTCGTTGAACGGAGCTGTTGCGGGTGCGCGACGACCGTTCGTGACAGCAAGGGTGTCTCGCGACTTAGGCAACGCAAGCTAAGTTCGCGTCTTGGCCGCAAGGGTGCCTCACGCCTTAGGCAATTCCAGCTAAGGTCGTGACAATGCGGTCATTAAATGTCCCACAGAAGCAAGTGAGACAGTGAATTTGGGGACAGACATTGCAGTTCTAGGCCAGTGAACCCAGAGCTTGGAGCACATCTGGATCATTCATGAGATCATGGATTTTGCAATGCTTGGTGTTGCTCTTGTTTGCTGCAGGATGTCAAAGAAGGGTCGGGATTGGCAGCAGTGGTGGTGGCAGAGTCGATGGACAGGAGGACGAAGGATACGGAACGTTGAGTGAATGGCCATGGCAGCAGACACGGCATCAACGACAGCTCTGACACATTGCAGAGATGAGCACCATGTGGAGATGTCATGTTGGGTAGCTAATATGAAAGCCAGCAGTGGCAGAGGGAGGGAAAGGCAGTGAGGATGGAGCAGAAATACAGGCAGCTAACTTATGTGGTGCTCTCAAGTATGCAAAGATGGAGGAGCACCTACTATTTCCACCCTAGAGGTCCACAGCCAACCAAGGTACATACATCATGCCCTCAAGTTCACAGGTCACTGTCATAGAAGAATCCAAATACATGGGTCTTGATTGAAATATGTACGACTAGTTTCATTTGGAAATGTGTTTGCATCTCATAGATTGACAGTGGAATCCTGTGGAAAAAATTTTCAATTGGAAGTTCTCTCCAAAAGCCAAATGGGCCCTAAAATACATCACAATATTTGTTGAACAAAAGAAAGCAATCTCACTATTTTTTATATATATTACCGAGAAAGTCAATAAAACATAAGATAATAAGTGAATGAAGAATCAAATACCCTCAAGGATAAAATGATCACCTATTTTATAGGAATGCAGTTCTAATAGAAGATCAAGAAATTACCTGAATGTGAGTCTTTATCAATGCCTTTCCAATCAAGGTTGCCACAAAGAATTTCCAAAATGAGATTCCAAATTGCCCACACATGATACCAGCGAGATCAAAAAGTGGGTTAGGCACCTAAATTGCAGCACCATTTAGACGATAGTGATGCAATTTTCATGTAACAATCTTGTATGTAACTCCGGAAGCTCTACTAAAAAAATACTAGGAACTGATAATTTCTTCAATTAGAAAACTGTTTACTTATTAAGAACTAAAATTCAACAAGCAGAAGGACAAAAAAGAACATTTATCCTCAATGGAACTACTACTGAGCCTGTTGACTACCTATTCAAGATCTGAAAGAAACAATTTTTAAGATAAATACTTGGGAGAATATGCATGTAATATGCAGGTGAAATATTATACTTGTTACATGGAAAAGAGAGGAAGCTTACTGAAGCAAGTACTAATATTGTCAGGAAGTTAAGATGCTGAGAGTGAGTGAGTAGCCAGATCTTAATTTGCTTCAAAGAAGAAGATACAAAACCATCTGTTGATGAAGCTGGACTAATCTCCTCCATTTCCAAATTGCTTCCAGACAAGCGTGCTGCATTGCCTTTTGTGTTAGACAAACTGATATCAAACTGACCATTCTAAGATTGGAATTAAAATAAGATATCAGTAGGAAAAGATTACCAAAACTGTAAATGCCTATAAATCCTGGATACTTAACTAAGCAAAATACCAGATCATAGAATATAACAATAAAAATGAAGATTTTGTTTAGAGTAAAATGAAAAAAAAAGAAAGAGGATAACAATGATGTATCTAAGAAAGATGATGCAGCGAATCTAATACTTAGCTACTCAATATCGTTCATTCAGTCGATGCACCATTACTGATTTGGATGACAAAGTTGCATTCTGCATTTAGTTCCTTCAAACTTATGGTTATCAAGAAATTATCCACCGTACATGATCCAGTCCATGATAACAGCATTTATTTTGTGATGAAAAATCTGATGGCATATTATCATATCACAGGCACATCTGTTATAGGCTTATAGCTCTTTCGAAAGACCATGTTTAAAGGCCTGATGTCCATAAACAGATGGAAAACCTTAATCTAAACTATGAGAAAAGGTAGCAATCTAATAGCTTGGTATTGTGGTAACAGGCACATATTCATGCCAATAGCTTACTAGCATCAGTACTGGTATCAAGTGCCTTAGAGTCTTAGACACATACTGGCTACATACCATGAAGTTAGTGACGACAAATTCATACAGGCCCAAGAGTAGTATTCTTCATTTCCCAACTTGCGATAGTACCTCTCAGTACCATATAAATGCAGCTGCCCACAAGTCTTTGTAATTGCCATCTTGGCATCATCAATCAACTATTCTTTTCTTTGATCGTGAATGCACAAACACAACTCCACTAATGCCAAGAAATAAAGGATCCATTGGAAGATGAAGTCCCACTTCTTATCTCAAAGAGTTAAGTTCAACTTTTTCTTATTTCTATCAAGCTAGGGAGTAAAATCTGCCCCATACTAAGTCTATATGACATTTAAATATACTTTTCACTCTGAATAAAATTGCAAAAAAAATAATCCTTTCTCATGTTGATAAAGAACAACTATATGTGAAAAATTAGTAAAAGTACTAACAAAGATAGCCTAGACAAGTGATGCTAGATCACAATAAAAGGTTTTATCCTCTTCCCTTGCACTGAATGACGTACTTAGTTTTCGTAATTCTATATGAACACCAACAAATTCCATAGAACACATATCTTGTATTAATATACTTTAGTATAGCTGATTGCACTAAAACTCAAACAGTTAAAGAACTGATCAAGGTATGAAAGTCTGATTTTACCCATAAGCCATTTAGTCCATCCTTTTTTCTTTTGAAGGTTTGAGCTCAGTATCTTTGTGCCTTCAAATCAAATCTCAGTAGAGATGAAGAGATGACAAAAGAAAATTATTACTTCCCAGATAAATCTTCCTATGTCCATACAGATACCCAAAATCTGATCGTCCTACTTACAGTATATGTGGTATTTGCTCAAGAATTTCTCCAAAAGTTTGGCTTTGAAAAATTTTCTCCTCAATTGTAGATTAATGACACAATAATATTATAGAACGATATTGCTAATATAGACATGAAGACCATATAAAAGTAAATGATATTACTTTAGCTCTAAAACAATAACAAAAAACACTGCACAAAGATGCCATATCACAAGAATCTAAATCATGGTTTATGTAATTCAGATAGAAAGGATACCTGCTCTTGAGATGAAATAAGGAGGAAGCTCTCCAAGGGCAGTACCCAAACCCCAAAGAATGGCCTCTAGCTGAACCTGAGGGAGTATACTGCTGATTGGAACCTTAACTAGGGAACCTGGTAATGATTGATATAATGGTGGACCGAACTCAGAACAGTTCTTTTCAAGCCATGAAGGTCGCCTTTTCAACTGTATTGTATCATATGGAGCACTTTTAAGATCAACTCGACCACACTTCATGGCCTTGATTGTAAAAAATGCAATATGGGGACCCAGATACAACACAAAGGTGTGCAATCCAGACCCTGAAAAAAGCAAGAAAAGTTATGCATCATGATGAACCAGTTCCATATCTCATACAACAGATGAATACAAAAGTCATGAAGCCTAGAATTATTTAATTAGTGTTAAGAAGCACATGAACTTTCGTGCATCTTATTTTGATTATTTAATTATTTAATTAAATAATCAAGCACATGAATTATTTTGTGCATTAAACAAATAAGAATTATTTAATTATACGATAGCTCTAATGGAGTCAAGGCATCTAATGAAGACAATTAACAGTCATATACAGATGTGCAAAAGTAAGCCTATGCAACAGTCATCTTTGTTATTTTGGTTCCGCTGCTCACTTCAAACATTATTTCATTGTGTATTAGCCTTGGAGCTGCAAAATATCTAGATAAGTTTTTCTCGATCTACTGAATCACACACAGGCTATACCATTAAAGTTAACCAGAGAAAAGATGCATTGCGAACCAAGATGATCATTAAGATGTCTCTTATATGGACGTTCTTTTCAGACTATTATCAGCCAAACAGCCAAAATCAATCTGTTCAACCTAATTCACTAAACTCCTACTTGCAACATGCACTTACCCAGCCCAATTGATGATGCCACACCAAGTGCCACCCACCACAAACCAAATCTTGTATAGCGAATGAACTCCTGAACATGCTGCCATCATTGAAGTGGACACGGTGAACAACAAATAAAATAATAAATTTATTTCAACAACAAAGTATCAAGGTCAACTAAAATTCACAATAGATTGAACAAACTAGTAAACCTTGTTGTAATTCCAACAAACGAGAGAATTTATCATCTTGTTGAATACTAATAATCTCTAAGTTACTTAAGCAACCTCCACATATAGAACACAACTACTATTATTGTTTCCATCCAGTACAATGTTGGATGTCCGAAAGAGTGAATACAATCACATTGCAACATTAGAAAATTGATTTCCTAAAGAAGAACATAATAATTCAAGGGACAAATACCTTCTCGTTGGTGCCATCACCATTCACAAGAAAGAGACCAAAAGCTGCTAACAAGATAGTCAAACCCATAAGCCAACCACCTTTCTTTAAAACATATAGAAGTGTCTGCTTAAGGTATTGCAATATGGCAAAAAAGAAGAGCTGCAATATCTTGAAAGGTTGAGTTGTCAATGTCAATTTCTGTAGATCTCTTTGATGTTTCTCCTTAAGTTCTGCAGAAGAATATTGCAAGATTAAGATATTAAATATCTAAATGATTAAACATTGTTAGATTTTTTTAGGAACAGATAGCATTTTCATTAAACATCATACAATGGTCAAATTTCAAATCGTTTATTATTCCGGTTCCAAAAAAAATTGCTATGAGATGTAAATGAATATTTGCTTTGACTGTGGAGCACTTGTAAAAGCACTGAATGTGGTTGATGGAATTACATTAATTCATGTATCATATTATAAAATTTAGAAAACTAAGGTGAAAAAAAGTCCAGATGAGAAGTTTATATGCAATTTTACTAATTCTGCCTCTTAAAATCAAATATTACAAAAGGACCAATTTAAATGAAAGCACCAATTATTTATTAGGCTTAACTTTTCATTGAACAGCTAAAAGAACTCAAAACCTAAATAGGGACCCCTCTCAACTTATAACATCTAATAGACTGTTGCCAGTTGTTGCCTATCTTATCATAACCACAATTTTGTAAGGTAAAATCTACAAAAATCAAATATTAAGAATTGGTAAGGGACTCTTCTATAAGACCTAACCTTAAAAAATAAAAGGGGAAACAACATCAGAGACAAGATTTATGTGTTCTAGTTTGTGAGACTCCTCTCAGCATATATATTCTAAGAAAAATATAGAGCCCTACATTTAGACTCCCAGTTAATCAAGATGCTTGCAGGATCAGGCTTGACCAGCCAAAGGCAACTCATTTAGCGGTCAAAATTTCTTTTAGCTCACCATATTTAATAGACCACAAGCAGATAAAAACAGAGTCCTACAAAAATTCACGTTAGATATAGGAAGGTTTAAAAGTTAAATGTTTGCAATTATATCAAGCACAATATCAGCCTTTCAGGGAGGAGAGACGTTAGAGGTTGGGAGAAGAGAAGAAAAAAATAGAGAAAGATGCTTTCTCTTGTTTGACAAGAATAATTAGATAAGTGTGGATAGAAACAACTTCTCTCGTTTGGTTACAAACATTAGAAGTATAGGAAAACAGAAAGAACAAAGTTCTCTCCCAACCTGTCTTTTCTGTAGTTCTATCTAAAACTTCTTTTTCTCTCCCCAAAAGTGGAGAGACCATGATAAATAATTTAAAGGTATCCCATCTACTCTTGCCTCTTTTCTTCTCTTCTCTCATTGCTTAATCTTCTTTTACCTACCCTTATTTTCTTCTCGTTTTTGTTCTTGCCATTCTTTTAAATCTTTTCAAGTAAACAAGCAGAAATTTTTCATATGAATGTAGACTATAACAGCTCGCCAACCATTAAGAATCAATAAAATCCATAATTCCTAATTCATCATTAGTAAACTGAGAGAAGCCATCATTATGCTGCTGCTTCCTTTTTCCAACGAATCATTGAAAAGGAATTAATGAAAATAAACTGCATGTTCAAGATAATAGATGGAGAGGCACATGAAAATTGCCTAGGATGTTTAACATCCATTGTTGTCAAAAGGGAAACTAATATCTACAGTTAGCAATTCATGCCTCTAGAATCTGACATACTAGGCTAGATTATGCAAGTAACCAACAAAAACATTTATCACAGAAAACTCATAGTCACATAGCCTAGAATGTACCATCATACTTTGGCAAGCCACCAGATCCATTAACTAATTACAATTATTCATTGAAATGGCAATGAAGCAACATTAGTATAAAGTCACAGAACAAATTGGACTTATCATCAATATTAGAATGTGTGTCCCCCCGGAGAGGTTTTAAAGGATAGCAAGGAATGGGCTGGATGGTCAGATTGGACTGCTAAATTGTTTGTTTGATTGCAAATCTAAAAGCTAAAAAAAGACAAAATAAAATAAAAACTGAAAAAGCCAAAGAAATTCAAGAAATACATGAGACAAAGAAAAGACACCTAGCTAAGAGACTCTGCAGTCCAAAAAAATATGGAACATGATTTCAATCAAAAAACGAAAATATAATTAATTATTCAATAATATGCATATGTTCCTAATAATACAAATATCGAGGCAACATAAGTCCATTATTTAGCTTATACAATGTGCTATAGCTAGAAACACCCAAAGATGAAAAGTTGCTCATAACTAAAGGGCCTGAAATCAGAAGCAAAATCCAAGAGCAGATATCACAAAGAGTCTGGCGTTTGATAGCCAAATTGTCGAACTATGATATTTTCCTTGAGAGGTTTTAAAATGATAAGATAATGAGATGAAGCTACCTCAATCAAAATTGACCTAGAATGAACTTTACTAACTGATTTAGCTTGACTGCGACCAATCAACAACAAACCCTCAAGTGTGGATCAGACCAAGGTTTGAATCTCGTACCAACCAGGTGTATTGGTCACATCAAATTCATACCATTACATCTGATTAAAATATCATGCTCATTTACCTAAAACAACATCAAATTAATGATAAAGTTCAAATCAAACCATTATACATGTTTACTAATCAAAGTTTAAATTGCCCAGTTTGCAAATTATTAAATTGCTACAACTTGCAAATCTTTAGTAGCACGACTCTTTAATACTTGCAAAGTGGCTGCTACCACTTTTGCTAGTAATTTATCACTGAAACTTCCAAAAGCATCTGACAACATATGCTCATCTTTTGCTAAA